ACTGGGTCAAAGTTGTATACTTTTGAAGGTCATGATGCTCCCGTGCATTCTGTGTGCCCTCATAACAAGGAAAATGTCCATGTAAGGACTTCACTTTATCATTTTTTTAATCCCTTGATTTGTCTCTCTTCATTTGACTTCTATGAATGATTTACTCTGTTTTGAAATTCAGCTTATGCCTTTGTGTTTCAGTTTTTCTTTTCAACATCAGTAAATGGAAAAATAAAAGCATGGCTATACGACAGTATGGGATACCGGGTGGATTACGATGCTCCTGGTCACTCAATCACAACAATGGCCTATAGTGCAGATGGTAAAAGGTTGGTATACCACTCCTTTCTAATGTTATTGCAACCTACATCTATATTCTGGGCAACAAGAAAATTCAATCTTTACATTAAACGCAATGCAGGCTCTTTTCATGCGGGACAAGCAAAGATGGAGAATCTCATGTTGTTGAATGGAATGAAAATGACGGTGTAATAAAGAGGAATTACGTAGGATTTCAAAAACCATCTATGGGTGTTGTTCAGTTTGATACAAGCAAGAATAAGTATTTAGCTGTTGGCGATGACTATGCAATCAAAGTTTGGGATATGGATAAAATCAATATTTTGACTACTATTGATGGGAAGGCGGTCTACCAGTAAGTTTCCTTTAAAACTACGAATGACGAGTAGTAATTATATTCTAACGAAGTTATGGCTGTACTAAAATGTGAACATTTTCCTTTTGAAGGCTAGTCCTTGCATTCGCTTCAACAAGGAGGGCTCTTTATTGGCTGTTTCTGCAAACGACATTAAGGTCAAAATTTTAGCTACAGTGGATGGTCTTCAGCTGATGTGCACTATTGAAAATCACTCGACTATTGCTACAAGAAATGGATCTGAGACTGCAAAAAAGGTCAGCTTATCAAAATTTCTATTATGCCATGAATAGAAGAGTCTTCACCTCTTTCGATAAGCTCTATGCAAGGTGCAAACTTTCAAGGATTGCAACTGTATTTAATGATGCTGGTTGCATCATGTTTTCCTTGTGCAATTTTGTACCACGCGGTCATGCACAATGTTTTTGCTTCGTCCTTTTAAATTCTAAATTTTCAATTTCAGTAATCTAACTATTTAGTTATAGTCTACAATAAGTCGAGCATGTTTTGACAGAGTGGTAGCACCAGAAACATGGAGGAGGTGAAACCAACTAGATTAGCTGAAGAAGCAAACACAACAAGGATCTGGAAACCCACTCAGATTAGTGAAACTTCTCAGCTTCGGACCTTGAGGCTCTCGTCTATAATGAAAACAGACAAGGTTGGATGTCTTATCGTATCAGATACTCTCAATTATTGCCCATCCATTTTGCCGATAACTAGGCAGTAGTTCACTGTGATATTCTGGTATCTCATTGACTATGCACTTGTGATTTGACAACTACGCTTTGCTTTTGTTTTCTTTTTTAATCACTGATTTTCCAGTAAAGAAAAGGAAAGTTCCTGATTGTCTTCTCTTGTCATCGTTACAGATTTCAAGGTTGACATACACTTATTCAGGTAATGCCATTCTAGCATTGGGATCCAGTGCCATCCATCAACTTTGGAGGTGGTCACGGGATGACCATAGTTTGCGAGCAAAGGTATAAACTCTATATCTTCTTGGATTCTGTTACATATAGTTCAAATTTGATGATTGTATCCTTCCCGTATTCTAAAGCGAGGATTATGGCCACATGCAATTTTATGTCGCTAGGCAACGACCAAGGTTACCCCACAGTTCATTCAACAACCTTCAGGCATTCTAATGACGAATGATCTTACTGGTGCTAAACCTGATCATGCACTACCTTGCTTTGCTTTGTCTAAGAATGATTCGTATGTCATGTCAACCTCTGGAGGGAAGGTATCTTTGTTCAACATGATGACATTCAAGGCAAGTTTTATATCTCAACATAATTTGGTCATGGTTCAGCTGCTTTTACACATATTATCTCATGAAACACGAAATTTTATCTTCCCGAAATTGGTTGGGGCTCTTGATCAGTGACGAGTTTATTTGTTTAACTACAGACGATGACAACCTTCATGTCTCCACCACCTGTGGCAACAAGTCTTGCTTTCCACCCTGACGACAATAATGTAATTGCTGTTGGCATGGATGATTCCACCATTCACATATACAATGTCCGCATAAATGAGGTATGTGGTTTTGTAAGGCCCAGTGCACAAATTACTGCATTCGTGTTTACTATATAAATACTTAGTTACATATATATCTCGGTGCTCACTTTGTTCCTGGTGTTAGGTTAAGATCAAGCTTAAGGGTCACTCGAAAAGAGTCACGTGTCTTGCCTTCTCCTATGTTCAGCATACACTTGTTTCTCTTGGAGCAGATGCTCAGGTTAGTAATTCATCCTCATGTAGGCATCTCGATGTGATTTTCAGTTTAATGAAAAGAGAGAATTGGAAAATGTACACTTTCCTACTGTGGCTTAGATATCGAAAGTGTCAAAACAAGTATCGTCGTTGTGAATAATTCTACACAAAAAGATTTTTGTTTCAGTTTGGTAACATAATTGTTGTATTTTCTTTCCCCAGCTTATTGTGTGGAACTCTGATAAGTGGGAAAGGGAGAACAGTTGTTTCTTGCAAATTCCGGCTGGAAGGACTCCTACGGCAATGGTTGAAGCTCAGCTTCAGCATCACAAGGATCTGATGCACATCCTTGTAATCCACGAGAGTCAACTTGCCTTATACAACTCGTTGAAACTTGAATGTGAAAAGCAGGTACTTTTATGGCGGCACGCACACAGTTATGATAAAGTACACCAGTTTACATGTTTTTTTCTTCAAACTATTACATGTTTTCTGTTTCATGTTTCAGTGGATTGTAGAAGAACCTGCAGCACCAATCTCGCACGCAACATTCTCTTGTGATAGCCAGCTCGTGTATGCAAGCTTTATGGATGGAACCGTGCGCGTGTTTACATCAGATCTTCAACTCCAATGCCAGATTAACCCCAATGCTTATCTCCCACCTGATGTCAGGTGATTAACTTTCCCTTGCTACATCTCGATTGATAATTTGTATTTCTATTCCTACACCAAGTTTAACAAACTGTTACGGTCATGATTGACTAACTTCTTTTCTAAATTTTTTCGGCAGCAGTTCTGCATCACACCCTCTAGTTATAGCTGCACATCCCCAAGAGCCAAACCAGTTTGCAATCGGACTAACAGATGGAACAGTTGTTATAATCGAGCCACTCGAATCAGGGGACAAATGGGGTATGCCACCACCTGTCCACAATGGCCTCCATACTACTGCAACTGAAGGAAGCTTGGGGATTGGAAGGCAACTTCTCCCTTCCGAAAAGGCCTAGTTGGGACTTGGATTTATTTTTCTTTTCTTTTGGCCATTTCTATAGTACTTTGGAACTTTTAATTTCTGGGGCTAGTCCAATATGCCCAGAATAGTAAATGTCTCAGACTTGCTTTGCTATGCTACAATGACTCAGTTCACCCTCATTCGAATTAGATCATATTTCGGTTGGTTTTGATATTTTATATATATATATATATATATATATATATATATAGACTATATTACTTTTTAATTCACCACACCAGCAAGACAGCTGAGATGCTAATTACTCGATCTGCTTGCTGCTGAAGCTGCCAGAATACGGAGGAGAATTAAACTCTGATGACAAGTCTGGCTAGCACAACAACACGGGAGTAGAAGACGGTAGTTAACAGTCACAAAACCTAATACCAAAAGCAAAACTGTAGTAACAGACGGTAAAGACATATATATTGCAGGCCGCAGCTGAAAATCAAAACAATTTGCCAACTCCCCCAATAGTGACTCGACTGTATAGACCCAAAGCCATCATCCATGGCCCTCCGCCCCTCCCTCTCTTTACACCTTCTGCTTCTGCTCCCACTAATCGGCTGCCGTTCTTGCTGCTTCTATCTCGTCCGACGTCGGAGGATCTTTATTTGGTTAATTTTTCTGATTTTGCAATATCTTAGGGTGAATGATTCCTCTCTAATGGGGTCTGTGAGTGTTTAGGATCGAAAGGATGAAATTTTAAAATGCGATTATGTTAAGCTTGCAGGCTTCTTCACCTTGCTGCAATTTGTACGTTTTACAGACCTTTACTAAACCATAGCTTGCATGCTTTTCCTGGGGATCGTAGAGATCCATGATCGTGACCGTTCATCGATTAGTTTTCGTTAAGTACTATTTATATTTAATTTTAAATTTTGAAATGATTTCTGATCGCACGATGTATGATGAACAATCACGATTATAGGATCCCAAATATCCTCAAGAAAAGAATCCTAAAACTGACGAGGATCCTTTTCCCTGAAAAAAAAATACCTCATATGCATGGCACTTGATTATTTTAGAAAGCAAGACCAACTTGCATCATCTAAAAGGAGGAATGGTAAACACCTAGTCAAATAAGGAGGCGTTAATTGACGGAAATTTGATTTAGGGATGAATTCTAAACTCAAGTGCAAGTTCAAAAATAATTCTAAATTTTACATAAAAAATAAGATCATTTTTTTCTAACATTTTGGATTGAATAAATCAAAAAAAAAAAAAAAATCTGGTAATAACTACTGATTGTTATTGGCGGAGTGTGTTTTATTAAATTGAGCTTCCGTCAATTCTTTTGACGGAATTTCAGAGTCGGTCTAAAGGCTTACACGAGTAACACGACATTAAAATCCTCCTAAATTTCGGGGACTAAAACCGTAATTAATCCAACCAATGCCAAGTTAAAACCCAAAAGTCAATGAAGTTAAACTTAACCCGACAGCACCTTCGTATTAAGGCAACGACGGCCAAACCATAGCCTTCAGATCACGTCTAACATCCAAGATCATATCCTTAGCTACATATCCTACGGTGATTATCTCTCCGTCGTTTTCGTCCTCTGTCACCCTATCTTTTGTGCTTCTCTTTCCAAAATCAAGGTGCTAGTGGCTACGGTAGCATCAAAATCTATTTCCCAATTTACAATAATCCTCAAAACCCTAGCAAAAAAACCCAATTCCCAAAACCCTAAATTCCCCCTCTCCTCAAATTCTCTCTCAATTAGGGATTTCCTCTTTTTAGAAACTCGTTTCTGGGCATGGAGATGGACAGCCTCTGCTCAAACGGCCTCGTTTTGGACGGTTTTCTCTGCTCTGTGATGCAGGCTGTGGTGGCTGAGGCAGCTATTGCTGCTGCTGCCAAGTCTCTTGCTTTGTCCTGCTTGATGGTATTCTCTCTTACTTTACAACAATTTTGGCTCAATTTTTTGTTCTGAATTGTTTTTATTTATCAATTTTATGGTTTTTGCTTAATTTGTTGTGTTTTGGTTTAGTGCATTGGGGGGTTTTCTGTTATTTTTTTGTTTGTTTCAAGAACTAGGATTTTCTTCCATATGTAGCTTGAGATTCGATTTTTGTGGATTTTATTTATATATTTTGCTTGATGTTTGTTTTTCATGGTTTTGCTCTACTTAAGGACCATATGAATTTGTTGAGATGCTTTGTTGGTTTCCAATTTTTCGATTTTTTCTCTGAATCTTGTAGGATAGTTGTTTCTCATACATTTTTATAATTATATGATATCTGATATGCTGGGGTTTTAATCAGTGTTTTTTATTGTTTAGCGAGTATTTTCGTACGGATTCAAACTTGATCTGTGCCACAATCTGTTTTTTCCAAACTTGATTTGTGTTTCCCTAGATCTTGACTTTGTCAAAGTTTGAATCGTATGACCTGGAAGTAAACAGAATATAATTAACTTGGGGTTCAATTATATGATGGCCTGATCATTGTTTCGTTTGTCGCTTTTACTTTACGATGTCCTCCAGATGAGATACTTCCTGTGCCATAATGATAATGTGCGAATAGTCCTAAATTATCTTGAATTCCTCGTGTTTCATGGTGGTTGGCACATGGTTCTGCTGAAACTAGAGTATATTTCTGCTTTAATATTGTTCTTATAAGGTGGAATATGTTGCAGGGTTGTAGAAAAATGTAGTCTACAACTCAATTTGTCCTCATGGGGAGGGGAGGAAAACGATTGTCATGTACTTATGTGTTGGCTTACAAATTTAGAACTAGTTTTTTCAAATTTCAAGTAGGACTAGCTTTCTAGTTTATTAATCAGGTTGTTCAAGTACCTTTCTAGGCCATAGTTCTGGTCTTGAACGGATAATGTTGCTGGGGTAGGTTTTAAGTTTCCAACTGTTGTAAATTGAAATCTGAAAGCCTTTGTTATTGGCTTGATCGTCTATCTCTTATCTTATGATTCTTATCTGAAAATGAAAGTAGCCATCGGTAATACTTCCATTAATGTATCAAAGTCCAACTCCTCTGATCGAGTAAATGAGGCTATCTTAGTGAGCATTTAAGCTAAAGTCGTTTCTGACCCTGTGTATCTGTAGCATGACTTCTTATAAAGCTGCGTTGTTGTAATCTAGTTTCGCCTTCTTGGATTATTGTCCCTTTTGCTTCTGACTTGAACTTTTTCAGCTTACTTGGTAAGGAAACTACTTAATTTTACTTGTATCTCCATTCACATGTTTGTGGTTTTTTCAGACGGGATCTGCGCCAAACACGATCAATGTTTTTCCCAAAGAACCTGAGGCAGTCACAGGGTTAGTGTTCGGACTTGCCATTTTATCTTTTATTCCTGTGATAGGGAATTTAGTGAAACCAAAATTTCTTTGCAGGTTTCCTATCACTGAGCTTTATGTAGTGGAAAAACCTGGTCCTGAGAACAAAGATGCAAGTGAAACTGAGGACGATGACGATGACGACGACGATGCTGCTGCTGGTGATGACCAGGATGAAGATGGTGGGGACGAGGATGCCGCCTCAGGAGAAGAGAATGAGGGTAAAGGTAATCCAGAAGACGAGCCTGAGGCCAATGGTGATGGTGTAAGCGAAGAGGATGGTGATGATGATGAGAAAGAAGATGAGGAAGACGATGATGACGATGACTGACGATGATGATGGTGATGATGGGGAGGAAGAGACTGAAGACGAAGAAGAGGAGGATGAGGAAGATGAGGAGGAAGACATTCCTCAGCCACCTGCTAAGAGGAGAAAATGAATTTATTTATTTATTTTTTCTCTTAACTTGCCGCATTTTTCAAGCTATCGGGAATTTGGGGTTGTAGGAGTTGAGTAATTTAGGTGGCACGTCCACATATGCTAGAGATTTTTACAGTACTTGGTTAAGCTATCAGATTTCTTAGTTGTACACCTTTAATAATTCTCTCTCTCTCTCTCTCTCTCTCTCTCTCTCTCTCTCTCTATGGATAGGAATTACAGTGGCGTTTCGTCTTTTAAAATCATTTCCCGTTAAGATATAATTGCCAACTGAAAAAATCCTAACTTGAATGAGTTGGTAGTATACCAGACACGATAAATCGATTCTCTAACCAAACTGTTGGGCAGATTTTGATAGAAATAATAAACAACAGACGTCCGTTTCATAGTTGGACGATTTATTTCGGCATGTATTGCAGTTGAAATTAAAGCGTCAGAACCTCTAGGCCCCCCTCTCAATTAGTTCTCAACATCCACCGCTAAAAGATTTAGGCAGCATAAGCACAGGAGGATCCCAAGCATAGGAAAATTTGACTGAAGCACCAGCGGCCAAGCTATCGCCTCTGATGAGGACGCACTCGTCCCCTCGCTTTTCTAGGATTGCTGGATCAACAGGTTCCACAGTCTGAAATCCTTGGCAACTCAAGACTATGTGGTTTCGAGCACAATTGCAGTTGTTCGTCACAACAACGTTCCATTCGGGCTTGCCTCCTACCTCTCTCCCACTCCGGTACGTGCCGATGTTGAGGTTGTCCAAAGAACAAGCACAAAAACCTACAAATTTCATCAATCAAATAGTTGAAAAGCAAATAATTTGGAGTGTCGTGGAATCGAGTATAAGATTTGCATAAATCATGTGTAAGTGCGTCTAAAAGCGCATGTATTAATATCAGATACAGGGATGTTATACACATTCGTTGTACGCAAGATTACACACACACACACACACACACACACACATATATACATATAACAGAGTTTACTCAAGTTGACTCCATTTGTTATCTAGGCAAATTTTTAGTTGAGAAATGCGAATAGAGACTACCGAAGAAAACAAATAGACAAAAGCATTGCACTATCACGTTACCATTCCTAGCGAGACTGAAAAGAAGAATCACGATGAAGGACATGACCAGGGCAGCCATTTTACAGAAGTTTATGTGCGAACTTCTGGTTTTGAAATCCTTGGTGGAATAAAGATGGTGATTGTATGGTCTAATTTATATTCAACGGCAGGGGACTCAAGTCTACAACTATGGTAAGGCAGTAAAACCAAATCCAAAATTACATCTTCGAATATCTTGAAGTGTTGGAGTTTCATTGACATAATTATAGCAGTCAACAACATATGTTATTTTATTATATTTTCTGGTTAGATTTGAGTTACGTCATACTATGGATTAGTCATAATTTGATATTAACCTCTTCATCCAAGAGAGTCAAAATTAAAGCCTACTACTCATGATTACAGGTGAAAGAAACACTACTAGATTACAATATAGTAAGTAATTAAAACCTACAACTCAAGATTATGTTTCTTCAAGGACACTTGCAGTTGTTGGTCATGACCAAGTTCCATTGTGCTTGCCTCCGACCAATCTCCTGATTGGGAAGTACTGGTATTGAGGTAGCACAACGACTAAGAGCAACCACAAAACCTTACAAATTTCATGAATCAATTAGTACAACAAGAAAAAAGATGAGTTTCGTTGGGTCAGAAATGCTTCCCCGTGAATCAGTAAACCCATATCATTATTGAATAACATAGCGTATAAATCATGTGTAACTGTGTATAAAATGGACTTACTATATACATTCGTTATATGCAATAATAATCGACAATGTGAGTCATTTAAAAATGACTACATTCTTTTGTTACTTGGACACAAAGTTGTAGTCGAAAAATACAGATAGAGTCTACTGTAGTAAAATCAATATATAAAAGCAAATATAGTATTTACCTTCGCTAATGAAGCTGAAAAGTATCACAATGAAAGGCTTGACCAAGGCAGCCATTTTAGAGAAAGTGAGTGTGCTGAAACCCTTTATGAGTTTTGAAATACTTGGTTGAAGACACTTTGTTTTGAAATACTTTGTTGCAGAGAGACGGTGGATGTGTACATACATGGCCTGATTTATATAAAATTCGGAAGGGCATTCGAATCGACAACTATAAAAAAGCAATAAAACATATTGAATGTGTGCTACATTGATGGGGAAAAATACTTCTGATTATATCATCCAAGTGATGTACAATTTGCAAATCATTCTAGACGTGGATTACGCAGGTTAAACGGCCATGAAAGTAAACCAAAACCCTTGTACCGATAAGGGCAAATTAAACCACAAAATATTTCTCTGTCAAAATTAAAAAAAAAAAAAAAAAAAAAAAGCAATATTGTTCATAAAAATTAAAATAGAAATATTTCAAAAGCTTCAAATTAAGCTAGGCATCCACCTCAATATCTCTCAACAAGCACCAACAATATCAGCAGATTTAGGAAACATAATAAAAGGAGGATCCCAAGCATAGGAAAATTTGACGGAAGCACCGGGAGCAAAGGTACTGCCCCTTTAGAGAAGGCACACGTCACCTTGCTTCAAGAAGATTGATGGATCAACAAGTTCCGCAGACTGAAACCCTTTGCAATTCAAGATTATGCTCCTACGAGCACACATGCAGTTGTCGGTCACCACCACAATCCATTCCGGCTTGCCTCCAACCACTCTCCTGCTACGTGTAGTACCGATAGCGAGGTCCGTGAAAGACGGTGAGCAGGCAGCAAAACCCTACAGATTTCATGAATCAAATAGTTCAGTAAAAAAAATTGTGTCATACTGCTATAAGGGGAGAAATGCTTCATCAAAGGCGTAATGTTAATTTTGGAAAGAATGACGTTACATATATTCCTTGTACGCGATGCAAAAATTTCTATACATATAAAGAGAGTCCTGAAAAACTTATAGGCTAGGGCATTTGTTACTTCCGGTAAAAGTTTAGTCGCGTAAGCAAATCAATATATAAGCGCAATTATACTAGTATTCTACCTTTGCAAATGAGACTGAAAAGAAGAATCACAACGAATGATTTGACCAAGATAAGCCATTTTGGAGAAACGTGTGCGTGCTAAAGATCTTTGGTACTGAAGTGCTTGGTGGAAGATAGATGGAGGTTGTGTCACGGTCTAATTTATATACAGTAGCATGTAAAGGGATTTTAATAGACAACTATACGGTTCATGCTTTAACAGATTATGGTCATGAACTCAAGAATAAATGCTTTTAATTTCTATCATAAAATGGTTTAGAATTCTACAGATTCATGCTTTAACTTTTGAGTACCAATTAGGTGTCTGTTGGGTTCAATGTAAGTGGTTTTTTTTTTTTTTTTTTTTTTTTTTGTCAAACGATAGTTTTGGTTTTCTTAGGGTTTAGTAACTTGTTTGTTCCGTGTTCCATATTCCACTTAAAACGTCTTTACATCACTTCCATTGGCAAAAGAGACTACAATAAAACATGATCATCCAAAATGTGTAAGCCCAACCAAAACGAAAGGATTCAAATCAGCCTAATAGACTGCACAACAATTTTACAATTTGAAACAAGGAAGAAAATCGAACATGTCTTATAACTTCAGGTGCATGAGATGAGTAGTTTTTTAATGAGCTTTACAATTCTGTCTTGGATAAATGTGTAGGCCAAATGATGGTTCAGAGTCTTAATCTTTAATGCAATTATCCTTTGACTGGGGGCAATCGAAAACATTAGTTTGGGATGAAAAACAATCGTATAACGCACATGTTTGATGAACCAACATTAATTCCTAGGTACATAAATAACTTTAGGAGAGATTCAGAGCTCGTTTGAATGTGCTTTTAAAATGACTGAAAACACTTTTGATGAAAATGTTTTTAGAATCAAGTTTTAGTAAAGATGCAAGTAAATCCTGAAAAAACACTTAAATGCCTCCTAGAAGAAGCACATAACTGGTGCTTCTTGCAGAAAGCATTTTAAGTGCTTTTGGAATCTAAAAACATTTTCTCCAAAAGCGTTTTCACTCAATTTAAAAGCACATCCAAACAAGCACTCAATCAGCTGATTTATTGTTTCTGCCGATATATTAGAAATTGATTTTATTGCCTTACATAGTTGTTGATTTGAATCCCCTTCCATATTTTTATATAAATTAGATTAGACCATGAACAAAGCCACCATCCATCTTCCCCCAAGTATTTCAGTACCTTAAGATCTTTAGCACACAGAAATTTCTTCAAAATGGCTGCCTTGGTCCAGTCCTTTATTGTCATTCTCCTTTTTGGTCTCATTAACAAAGGTAAAATAGATGTATAATTGCTATATCACGTTCTCAAACAGGCTATGTCTTTATCGTTGGAGACACTGCTACATTTTGAAAGTCTACAAAGCAAACGCTAGTTGCGATTTCTTCAAACCATGCTGAGATTCTCGCTCTGTATGAAGCATCACGTGAGTGCTTCAGGTTAAGAGCAGTTATGTTCATATTCGAAGCATTAGTGGTCTTATTTTCGTCGTTGACCTTCATACGACAATCTTTGAAGACAATGCAGCATTATCAAGCAGTTAAAGAAGGGATACATCAAGAGAGACAACACCAAACACATAGTGCCGAAGTTCTTTTATTCTCACCAGCAACAACAGTATCAGAACATTGAAGTCAAGCAAATCCGTTCCTAGGACAACCTGGCCGATCTCTTTACCAAGTTATTGCACAAGTCGACTTTTCAGAAGCTCGTCCAAGAAATCAATATACGTAAATTATTTGAGTTGAATTGCTTGTAGTTCTCTTATTTGGAAGTTATGTTTAACTCAGAGGGAGTATCCTGAAGCATACTCATTAATGTAATCTTACTCATTTCATCTTAATGTACTCTTTTTCTTACGATTAGGAGTATTTTTTCCACTGGATTTTTGCTACCTAATGAGGTTTTGATGAGGCACTCATCTTGGGATAATCATACTCCGTTGAGTTCACTACTTTCGTCCTATTTGACGTTTGTTTTTAGACATTATGCATACTTCTCATTTTTCTCCTTAGTCTATAGGTTTTTCACCTGCCTTAGGTTTTACCATAGCGAGGTTTTGTGAGTTTTACTACCAATGCATACTTTCTTTAAATTTGAGACTCGCATTCGCCTGTTGTGCTGCCGGCTTCATCAACTATTCTACATTATCTGCTGAAAATCTAATGCGATGTTTTGTTTGAGTATTTACACACTCGAGGGGGAGTGTTGCAGTCATATTTAGAATAGAAATGTAATTGTGTAAATCCTAGTGTATCTAGGGATATCTTTGAATATTCCCTTTAGTAGTTAATATTCTATTAGAGTTGTAATCCTAAAAGGGTAAGGATTTAATCTATCATACTACTATAAATAAAGGCACAATGTGATGATACAACACACACCTCACAATTAAATCTCTCTCTTCTCTTTCTGATTACCACCGGCCTCCCCTCTCTATTCCGTTAGAATAGTTCAGTCAAATAGGCTTACAACAATTTTACAATACTTCAAATTGTTTTGTTTAGTGTTACCAAACTAGCCCTCAAAATTTTTATTATCTTTTTCTTCACGTTATTGAGTCGATGTGATGAGAAATAGGACCATCCACACCTTTGCTAACGGTTTCAGTGGGCAATTTGAAGGGGTTTTCACGAATACTTAAACGTATGAATACGAAATAGGTCAACGGTTTGGGATTTATGTGGACCCAAAAATATACTATAACAGATGTATTAAATATTATATATATAATGTAACATAACAGATTGTTCTTTAAGGTATTGTCGTGTAGATTTCATTCCACATTAAGTATTTACGAAACCCGGTCAAGAAATCAAAGATTCAATATAATTTATTGCTTCTGACAAAAAAAAATCTGATCTTTTTGTTTCTGCCAAAAAATTCTGATTTTATGCCTTACATAGTTGTTGGTTACTGTATATAAACCAGACTATGAACGCAGCCACCATCCATCTTCCCCAAAGAATTTCAGTTCCGAAACGCACAAATTTCTCCGAGATGGCTGCCTTGGTCAAGTCCTTCATTGTGATTCTTCTTTTCAGCCTCATTAACGAAGGTACAATAGTTGCGTAATTGCTTTAATATATTGATTGCTTTGGCACCCTCTATTTTTGTTTTCTCGATTAAACTTGGACTCGATGTAATACAAATGTCCCAAGTTCTATACGACTCTTTACGTGTAAATTCCTGCATACAACGAATGTTATATAATAATTATGTTTTTTTTTTTTCTTTCTGAAATTAACACTACACCTTTTATATACACGCACTGAGATCACCCTTCTTGGCGAAGGTAAGAAACGCTGACGTATATATTCTCAAAATCTCACAGGAATGTGCCAAGAAAAGTGCGCTACGATCGACCTGCAAATTAGACAAGAGAAAACAGGGAAGTTGGTGCAAGCAAAGCCAGAGTTTCAGGTGAGGGTATTGAATGCATGCCCATGTCTGCAAGGGAATGTGAAATTAGACTGCAATGGATTTCAAACTGTTGAAGTCGAAAACCCCGTGACATTGCTCAGATCTGGGAATGAGTGTCTCCTCAACAATGGCTCATTCCTTACACCATTTAATGAAGTTGACTTCGTCTATGCTTGGGACACAGAGTTTCCATTCAAGCCACTTTCCTCTGACATTAAATGTGATTGAGAGGGGAAGAGATGTTTAAGCTGTTTTTTCATCCCAGGGGAAGAGATGTTTAAGCTGTTTTTTCATCCCAAAACAATGTTTTCAATTGATGCAAATAAAAGTATAATTGCTTTCATTTTCTTATTGAATTAGATATTTTAGATTTTTTTTTTATTATTGTGTTTTTAATGATTAAGTCTCTAACATGTGTAGCTTAAAATTCGGGTGTAGTGAAATTAGGATTTCATAGGATTTTAATAGACTTTAAAATCCGAAAGTAGTAAATTAGATTTTAAAAAAGAATTTTAAAAGACTGAAATTATAGTGCAATCAAATTAGGATTTAAAAAGATTTTAAATAATAAATTGAAATCCAGAGATAATCAATTAAAATTTTAAAGAAAATATCTAAATTCAAGCGTAGTAAGAATATCAAAGATTTGTTAGGATATTTAGATGAATTTAAAGGTGTTTGGTATAAATACCAAAACCCACTTCACAACCCATATTCCAATTCCAAAACCCACTTCACGGAAACCAACTAAAACCTCCATGTTTCCAAATACCCAATGTTAGGACCCGACAGTTGGGCCTTTCTCCTCTCCTTCAGCTACAGGCGTTTTGTTGACAATTACCTTTGTCTTGTCTTCAAGCCCAAGCCCCATAGCAAGGGTTTCCTTCTCTTGTCTTGGTATAAATGTGTAAATCGCAGCCCTATGGGGTTAATGAATGAAAGAATCCTCTCTTCCTTTTACCTCAATTTCTTCCCCTTTCTTCCTTTAATTTCCTGCACTGTTCTCTACTTGTTAACATTTTGTCCTTTAATTTCCTTTAATTCAAACTTCGGTTAGTCTAAAAGTACCAGAACAATATCATCGAAAGAAATTTCGTTTAATGTTATACAAAGGTTTTATTATTCCAATTTTATAATAATTAGTAGCCATATCTAATTTTTCAACTTTGTAATCCTTATAAAACCAAAACAAAAGAAATCAATACCTACTAAGTGAAGTGCATATCTTATATATCCAGTTAAGAAATTATTGTTTTTTTGAATTTTGAATTAGCTAGGCAGAAAAATATGAAATGATAAATATAAAATATATTTCCATATGTGGAAGCGGTATTATAGAAGGGGAAAAAAAACGATAAAATCTTATAAAAACAAATAAAATATGAGGTGGAGAATGCTTGTTGACATAGAGGTTAAGTATTGAATTTAGTTTTTAATTTTAGTTAAGATACTAATAATCTTTTTTCTAAGATTATGATGAAGATTTTTATTTTCTTTTAAAGTGTTGTCTTTTATAATCCACTCCACATTGAATAAATTGACATCCCCGTTAGTAAAGGACAGATTCATTGTCTTAAATTCAGATTGACAACTTTTTTTGTTTTTTTTTTCCAATCGGATTGACAACTATGTAAGGCAATAAAATCAGATTCCAATATATCGCCAGAAGCAATATATTTTCTTGACGCTTCGCAGGAAGATTGACATTTCCCCTAGACACGAACGACTCCTATCAACATTGAAGTCGTACCCAAATTATTATCAACATGATTAATCAATATGGTTGATCGAGGAAAATGCTTACAGATTCGTTAAACCATTTGATGCCGAAGTAATGTTCAACAAAAATAATTATTTGAAAATGAATTCTAATGTGAACTTGCTTAATTGATTATAAGATGCAGACAGTTTGACAATATAAGCAACATAACAAGAGAATGTCACCACTTATAACAAAGCAAAATTGAACTCCAATTATATAAATAAAAGCCAGGGAGACTACATCGTTCAAATCGATTAACACGATCAAGAAACAAGTTTCACTTAAGAACGAGTAATCGTGGAGGATAGTAGCTTAAAATGAAAGGCAGTATCCCAAGCGTAGGTGAAATTGAGTTTATCACGGGCATAGATTGGATGGACATTTTGGAGGTCACACTGGCTACCAGATTTGCTCAAGATTTCAGGATCAATGTCTTCAACAGTTTTAAATCCACGGCAAGATAGCTTAGTGTACAATCGAGTACAATCACAGTCATTAGAGATCGTTACGTTCCACTGCTTCTTGTTTTTGACTAGCTTCCCCGTTGCAGACTGTTTAATTGAAAGGAACTTGTCCTCCCTGCAACGTTGGCTGTCACCTGCAATGTTATGGAACATATATATATAAGAATAATGCTACATGAATTACAATCGTGGCCAGAGTACTAAAGTAACTAGAACAATTAAAAAGTATGTTATTTTCTCCCCAAACTTGTAAGGAGGTGCTAATTTCATTCATGAACCTTAATTTCAACCATTTTTAACTTTAATTTTAATCAATTATTTCATAAACTTTTATAATAGACCAAGTTTTTTCCTGTACTTTAATTTTATAATTGCAAAAAATTTATTAGTTTTATATTCCTAATATGGATGGTATATTGTTTTTCTTCCTCTTCCCTTCCGCCAGTTGATCACTCCATATACTTTTGTTTGAATTTTACGATTTAGGGGGAAATTAAAGTTCAAGAGAAAATTGCCCAATTATAAAAGTTCAGATGAGTAATCGGCTAAATTAAAGTTCCAAAGGAAAATTGACAGCTCCTTATAGTGAAAATTGAAGGGTTTGGATTGCATACAAAAAGTGAAAATTGAAGGGTTTGGATTGCATACAAAAAATTGAAAATTGAAAAATGCAAAAATCATTCTAGGTACTGATAATTAGCAGCTGGTTTATGCTTTAAGCAATATTTCAAAGAATTATAGTGGAAAATGTGGAAGTGGAGCTTTAGCTCCTACAATGAGACTGCAAATGAAAACCAGGCCGAGGATGGTAGCTGCCATTGGACTGGAGACAAACAAGAATGTTTTTTCATTTCTTGGCTGGCCTTGTTGTTTGATAAAAATGTTTCACAACAAAACCCAATTTATAAGAGCTTGTATGGTAACAAAAAGGTAGAAAAATTAATGCATGGTAAGTTATATGGTAAAACCGTTGTACCAAATAAAGAAGAAAATACAAGAAGAATTGTAATTAAGGCTCCACGATAAAATTTATTTCAAATTCATTGTCTAGAAGGGATGTACTAGTACATATAGAAGTAAAAGCATTTAATAGAATATCACTCCTAAATATCTTCTTGGATTCTCCCTGTTTAATACAGATTTTAAATCTAAAAGAACTCTTTTTTACGAGTATAAATACATCATTCTATTTATAGGTTCATTTATGGTAATGCAATTATTACATACTTTATTCTCAGCCCACTAGTTGAGTCTTAAAAATTGCTTACTAACTTAACCGTCAGAGAGCATTTGGTCGATACCCCACCAGTGCCTAGGTTGTCTTACGATTGTTTGCTCTTTTACAGGTAATCGAGTTTGTGCATCTCCTCCACACAGTGGTGCACAAATTTGGTTCCAGCAATATTCCATATAAAATTCGTGTAGTTTACACATATTTTTAACATGTTATTGAATAAATAAATAAAAAATTGTAATAAATTTTCTTTTTAAGATTATCAAAAAAGGCCAAAATTTTCAAAGTATTTGTTTAGCAAAGTTGTTGGTCAATAATATATGCACATATTTTTCATGCACCACAACATTAACATCCGAATTTTACTAACTATATGGGTGTATCAAACATATAATGGTAAATGCTAATGTATTAGACACATAACTGACGAGTTTGATGATCAATATTTTATTATAAGTAATATGATTATTCTAAACTATTCGAAGCTTAAACGCAACGAAGAAAATATAAACATCAAAAAATGCATTTGTAGAGAATGAGATTAAAGATGCATTTGCACCTTTTTAATTACAAATTGAATAACGAAAGTGGGATAATCAATTGGTATGAAATCAATGATCATTCTAAACGCAAAATGATCGTTTTTTCTTCTCTCTGCCTTAATGGAGAGAGGTTGATTGGGCTCTCCATCTTTCTAGTGAATTCTCACTTGTTCATATGTTAGCATGCTAAATGCTTAATTTCTCCTACTCCTTTGAGCTTAATTTTTCTTCACATGTGGACTTCCAGGTTTTATTTTTCTATACATCACCTGTTCAAATGTTAGCATGCCAATTGCTTACTGAGATTGCTTAATTTAGTTGTATTGTCAATTTCTAGTTCCCTTGATTTTCTTCGTTATTTTTATGCCCTAGGCTTGCCAAGATTTGGATAGGATTTTTCCCTTTCGCTTATCAATTTTTTTTTACAATAAACAATAGAGTGATTAGATTAATATAAACCAAAATATTATGAAATTACATTATCGAGCTCCAAAGAAATGAGTAGTTCTTTATGATTCAGGAAGGAAATAAAGCATACTAAACCATATTTTGTTTTATTTTTTTGAACAAATGCATATAGTTTTTTTGAGAACACATTGTGTTATTTTCTCACTCCTTGCGATAACCTCGAAACCAGATCTTGGGCTCAAGGTCGGATACAAAATCCAAACACCAAACTTGGACCTCATACACTTAAACCTAGATCCAGGACTTCGAACTGAAGCGATCCAAACCCAAACCCTGAATTCTTCTTTTGACCCCTAAACCCGAAGCCCTAATGTTAGAGGTGGAGTCGTACTGAAGAACCTAAAGGGTTCGTCTAGTGGGCTAGATGAAATTGGATATCAAGGATATAATTAGATTGATAGGGAATTGTAAAACAGAACTTGTAATATATGTGTAAAGATAAGTTAGATAAGTCACTGTATTGCAAATACATAACTCATAATGTCCAGTCTTGTCTATCTCATATTTTGATACAACAAACAACAAACTAATCTGTTTTAATTGGTCACAACTTATTCTATCCAACCTTTCGGGTTAGGACTTAATTATTGCTTATCCTTATCACACTTTTATTCTTGCATATCAAAGTTACTTATCTTGCAACTCCTTTAACAAGAGAGATCCCTATTTTTTAAATAAAAATGAGAACATCCTCTTGACCATTAAATTTGATTTTAATGAAATTGTGTGACCTATGATTTAATATCAACCACACAATTTCATTAAAGCCAATCCAACGATCAAGAGGATGTTCCTATTTTTTTTTTTAAATGAGGATCCATTTTGTTAAAAGATCCTCTTATCTTGTACGTCTGGTCAATAAACGCACTTTTAATTTGTTGAATTCTGAAAATTTACCTTGTCACAATCCAAATTTGAATGAAAAAACACCTTTTGATAAGCTACTCCATAAAGTCGTTCAAATGACTTTTTTTTTAAAAATATTTTTGAAAAGAACATAGGGGGTGTTTCGTGATTCAGTACTACGGCTTGGTAGTATTCCTCTTTACTTGGAAATGAAGTTTTAGGTTCGAATCTCGTGGATGACAAATTCGATGTCAAATTAAGTTACCTATTGTGTGACTTAACCGAATTCTCTCTCTCTTTAATATAAAAACTTTCCATATCATTAACGATAATGATTGCACCTAGAACGTATATATTTTAAAATAATAGAAAGCCTTTGACCAAATAAGGGCTTACCCAGTTTCCACCCAAAAGATTAGAGGAGTACCTCCCCCGAAGACTACTAACACAATTGAGACCTGCCTTGGTTGCCTAGTGATTTCATAATTCAGACATTTGTCTTGGGTTTCTAATATTTTAATAGCAACTGAACATATAATAAATAAGGTACAAGCTACTTCGTTTGCATATATGTGCTGGTCTGTAGTTTCTTTTTACAATCTTTCATGGCAACAGTATTTTGGTTCATGTTCATTGAAGAAGCCAACCAGAGGTTTAGAACCATTATATTTTGATTTTATGATCTTTAATGAAACCAACTAGAGGTTTAGAAGTTAGAATCATCATATCTGGAAGAAAGTTGAAGTTTCATTAAAAAAAAAAAAAAAGGCAATATATGAAGTAATCCAATTTCTTATAAACATATGAAATGTTACTCATTTCCTCGATATAGGAATTCATTTTCAACACGTCCCCTCACATGCAGCGAACTTTCAAACCTAACACGTGGACAACATACAAATCGAGTAACGTGGAGCACTTGTGACTATTGGCTTTCACACAAGTGTAAACACGGGATTCCTAGCATGTCAAAATTAGGGTGAGTGCCACGTAAGCCCTGACATATATGTGGGCTTCAAACAAATTGAGTGACCTATTGTACGTTCCACGTAAGCCTTAACATGTCAAAACTTTAATTTGTTGGTGGATATTTATTTCACCATAATTTACATGTCTGCAATGAGACAAGTTGCTCTAACACCATAATGAATGTTGAGATTCCCATAAAACTAATTGATAATAAGGAAAGTAACTCAACTAATTATTGGCGCATACAAAGTCTTTTATTTTTCCAATGCTAAATTCACTGTTAACAATTCTCTTCTAAATTACTTTAATTTATTCTACTTAAAAAACTTTCTCGTAACCTAGAAGTAAGGGATCGAGTACGTTGTCTTATGTATGTGTTTGGACCTGATTTTACAATATCGGCCCGAGTAATCGAGGTCGTTGGATGATCAGAATTTTAAACCGTTGAATGACAAAGTGGTTGAAATGATTTTCAATTATTATTGATAAATAATGTTGTGATTTTAATCATGATATTATCTCGTAGTAATATGTTAAATTATTTAAACCTAATATTTGTCTAAATCCCAACTAATTTGACCACATGGAATATTATGATATGGATGGCATCAATTGGATGAATTCAGGTATGGTTAGATCATGCAGAAGCCTAGATAAGCTTGGCTTTTGGTGGTGATATGACAAGCCTAGGATTTGATGGTGATGGAGTTATGATGAGGTAAGAAGCCTAGATAGGCTAGACTTTTGATGATAAGGTTTGAAAAGTCATGATGTATGGATGGGATGAAATTATGAGATGGTGATAATTAGAAATGAATTTAATATTCATTTAGATAAAGCCTAGGAACATAGGTTTTTTGGAAGGCTAGGTTTTTAATGCATGTTTCTCAGGTTGATGCTGTGAAGATGGATGGAGGAAAACAAGTGGTGAAGCCATGTCACCAAAGATCAAATGCAATCCTTTAAAGATCAAGTCACGTTAGATACATGAGAATTTGAAATAGGACTCTACCTGAGGATCAGGCCATGCCAAACAAGTATATCAGTCCTATAAAAACAGATGCAATGGCAACGGAAGAAAGACCACCAATTCAACACACAGCTGCCTTGCGCAAAACCTCTCAAACATTCTGAGATTTTTTTATTTTCTTTTTTCCACCGACACATCTTCAGTTTGGATAAACAACACTGTGACGTCAACTGACAAACACCTTCAGTTTGGATAAACAGCACTATTGTCGTAGAATCAGCCGACCGATGAACACCTTCAGTTTGGATAAACAGCACTGCGTCGAGGCCGACTGGTTACCTATCAAAGTCTCGGTCGAGAAAGGTTTCCGAATCCTTATTGGCAGAGGTCATCTTATTAGCCTTCTCGGCGAAGTAAGGTGTTATGAGTTACGACATTCGGCGCATTGAATGCTGAGTGATTTTATGATTGGATACTCCCAAGTGAGTTTCAGAGTTCGGCATTATGAGGGCCGAACCACATTTACTATCAAGACACACATTACCCTTGAATACTTGTGTCTATATAGTCTGGTGTCGATTCGACGTGCTTATACTCTCACAAATATAATCACCATGACCGAATCCAACGCCAACAATTCGTGAACTTCGCAGAACTAGCAGCCTTGTCTTCAGACTTGAGAACCAGAAGGCTGAGATTTCTTCCTTCCTCGGCCGCAGTCACAAGATAAAGAAGTCAGCAACGCGCTCAATGCAACATCACCAAATTTTCGGCTGAGCTCGGCCGACGAGTTAGCACGCCTCGCATTCAACCGAAGGACGTAGTTAGCTTATTAGTTACTCGGTCTGCGCACCACGTAGGCTTTGTAATAGGATCAACAGTATGATATGTCGTAAGTAAACTTAAACTAAATATTACGAAGGGTATATGCTAGTGTAAACATTTTGATATTCTTTTGGTCAAATGATATAATTTAGTAAAAAGATGAAACAAAATTGGAAATACAATACAACAACAAAGAAAACACTAGAAAAAACCACAGAAAGGCCTAATAAAGAAGGATTGGAAGGTTTGGCTTTGTCTTTTCCATTGAACCCTCCTCAAGGGAATTTGATTGGCTTTTTGTGCGCAGAAAATGACTGGGAAGAAAGTGGCATTGGGATTTCGTTTTTATATAAGACGGCAAATGGGACAAGTGGTGAATAAAAATCCTTTCTGGCCTTTTGTACACAAGGCATTTTTAGTAGGTTTTGACATAGTCGTTCGATAATACTTGAAACTTATCTTGATATTTTTTGTTTGGGCAAATGCTATTCACAATCTCAGAACTCTCCGTTCTTTTGTGAATGTAACTAAATTGCGGGGGTGCATAACACATTTTTTATAGTTCATATTAACTGTTTTTGTGAATGTTTTACGATAATGAAATATTGAGTTTCGAATGCAGAATGACAAATTGAGTGTGCGAATAAGAATTAATTTTTGTTATTAGCAGAGTTTAAATATCATAATTTCAATCCAACTAATATTGAGGCATTTTGTGATAAAATTTCATACCTATTGGACTGTGCATGTGGTAATTAACAAGTTAAAGATAATATCGATGTTACTAGAAGTGGTAATTTGACATGGTATTAAAGTTAGGGAGTGGGCAGCACTACCATATGATGGGCGGGTCACCTTGGCCTTGTGCGACGATGATGGGTCCCTTGGTCACGTGTGTTATGTGAATCCCCTTGGCTCAATATGGTTCCAGATGTGTGGATCTCTCATGTGTAACCCACTAATTGGGTCCCATGAGGGGATGTGTTGAATTATCCCATTTCGGGCAGAGACAAAGAAGAAGAGTTTAGACATCTTAATCTTAGTCCAACTAATATCGAGACCTTTGTGGTAAAACTCCACACATATCGAATTGTTCATATAGTAATTAACAAGTTAGGAACATTATCATTGTTATGATTCAACTAATACTGAGACTTTTGTCATAAAACCTCACACATATAGTACAAGTAATAATTAACAAATTGAGGCAATATTAATATTATAAAAATGAGTCTTCTGTCGTCTCTCTCATAATTTGACTGTATCGTCTTGTAACATGGATTGCTTTTCAAGACTAAATTAAAGTGTGAAACCATGAAAGCGAAAAGCACTCACTCATACGCAAGCTTCCCCAGTTGTTTCTTCTCGTCCATAATATTCTATCCACCCACTATCCCACAAACATCACAACCACATCTGATCCAACCCCATTATTGAAACCAAATCTGCAGAACTTGTAAGAGACTCCGACCCCATCATTAAAACCAATACAGAAACAAAGAAACTGCAGAGGAAACTTGTTTTTGTTTCTTCTTCATTTTACATGTGTGAAGGTATGCCTTCTCTGGTGATTATTTCATTGCTTTGCTATGGGCTGTACTGGGTAATTCACAGCCACAAGTCATCAATCTCAGTGGCTTCATTGAGCACCGAAGAAACCCTTTTTGTGAATAAAACAGCTGCAATTGGAGCTACAGATGATGACTTTATCTGTGCCACAATTGATTGGTGGCCTCCTCAGAAATGTGATTACGGAACTTGTAGTTGGGGCTCTGCTTCTCTTCTCAATCTGGTAAGCCTATTACATATCCTCCTTTTTTTTTGTGCAATTTATGTCGTGTGCAGTATACTATAGTTCGAAGTACGTAGTAGTTAGCACTTTATTAACTTACCAACCAGTCATTGCTTCAACTCTGCGTATCCAATAGAGGTCTCTGTTTTCTGTGTTCTGTATAGTTCAAAGTAGTAGTAGTTAGCATTGTATTAACGTACTAACCACAACAGTTACTCAACTACTACCCATTTTGGTTTGAATCTCCTAATATTCATTTAACAGCTGCTGCACTATTACAATTTAATTTGACGGTAGTTTTCCGCTGTACATTGATTGACGTTGTTGCCAAAGCTTTTCCTGACAGTATTAAACCGCAATTTATCTAGAAAAAAAAAAAGAAAAGTGTTGAACCAGCCAATGTTTGTAATGGCCTTCTCAGTTTGACCCTTAAAAGTTAGAGGATTATGATGTTAATACCTTTACTTTTTTTTTTTTAGTTTTACTTTATTAGGGGGATCAACAAGAGCAAAACTATTACAATAATATAAGAGTTAAAGAGTTTCCAACTCAGAATGCATGGTTAAAAATTCAATACTTATGATCACTACAAGTCTACAGTAACACATATTTTAGCTTTATTTTTTTTGGTTATGAGTCCGGATTTTCGTCGGATCCTCTTTGTAATAATCTAGAGATTCGTGAATCGTGTTCGTTCATTATACATCTTACGGTCAGAAATCATTTTAAATATTTTTATTTAAAAATAAATATAAACAATTATTGATAAAAACTGACCGTACGATGTACGATGAATGGACGCGATTTACAAATTTCCATGATCCTTACCAAAAAAACTCCGGAGAGAGGATCCTGTTGGTTTGGTTATGATTTGTCAACTAGTACAACTGACCCACCCAAGATGCTATTCTCATTTCTTAGCACCAAATTGCAACTTTCAGAAAAAGGTTATGCACGAAATTGCAACTTTCAGGAAAAGGTTAAGAAAAAGATGATGCTTATCAAGAATCATAATATCTCTTTTATTTTTTTGGGCAAAAGAAACAAAGAAGCATAATTCCCCCCCTCCTTTACTATTACACATTTTTTATTCTTTTTATTTAATTAATTCTTTCATAACTATATTATTTACTAATTCTAATATGTATTTTCTTGTTTTTCAATTGTTGGTAGGATCTTGACAATGCTATATTTTTAAATGCTATAAAAGGTAAACAAGTCATTGCTTCAACTTATACACACAAAGGCAATATATATAGCGGTGTGTTATCCACACACTTTTTTTATTTCTCACATTCCTTGTTGATTTCTGTTTCTTGATATTCTTCAATTCATCTGATCCGACGGCCAAAAATTAGAAGGGTATGTGAGAAGTAAAAAAAAGTATGTGAATATCACATTCTAATATATAAAAAATCCAAAACAGTTCTAACTAACGGAAGTGTATAATTCCATTATTTTGTTGCAGCATTTTCACCCTTGAAAATTAGGTTGGGTGGCACTTTACAAGATAAAGTCACATACCTGACAGATGGAAGTCAACCACCTTCCACCTCATTTGTCAAAGATGGTTCGCAATTGTTTGGTTTCTCTCAAGGTTACTTACCAATGCCTAGATGGGACCAACTAAACAGTTTCTTCAACAAAACTAGGTAATTATACTTAAATCTTCTCATGAAACCTTATCGCTATATTAATTAACCATAACATGATATAATTTTTATTTTATTTTTTTATTTTTTGAAACAGGGCTGTTATTATTTTTGGTTTAAATGCACTCATAGGTAGAAAAATAGACTCCAATGGTGCTGCTACGGGTGCTTGGAATTCAACCAATGCAGAATCTTTAATAAGATATACAGTCGACAAGGGATACACAATTCATGGTTGGGAACTTGGTAAGAAATTTTACACATTTTATTTGGTTACTCGCGATATTGGACTTAAGTACTTTAAACCACTTGAGTTATAAGTCTTTTACAAAATTTGTACACATTAATTGCCGGTACAAATGCGAAACTAAAGCTATACTTGGAATAAATTTCAGGAAATGAACTGAGTGGGAATGGAGTTGGAACAAAAGTTTCAGCAGACCAATATGCAGCAGACACACACACTCTCCATGAAATACTGCAGAAAATTTATGCAGATTATGGATCAAAGCCACTAGTCTTAGCACCAGGAGGCTTCTTTGATGCCAATTGGTTCACAGAATTTGTTCATAAAACTCCTCTTTCCCTTAAAGTAATCACTCACCACATATATAATCTTGGTCCAGGTATATTAATTAACATAGCTAATTAATCTGCGTTTTTCAAAATCACTTTCCTTTCTCTGGAAATTCAACTTGTGGAATGACACTTTGCCTTTTTCTTTGTCTCGTATTAACTAAGGTAGTGCTGGAGATCTCGTTGACAAGATCCTAGATCCAGATGTTCTCGATGGTATTTCGCAGACCTTCAGCAGCCTACAAAACCTTGTTGAGACATCAAACACTTCAGCAGTGGCATGGGTTGGTGAAGCAGGAGGTGCTTACAACAGTGGCCATAATCTTGTTACAAATGCTTTTGTGTTTAGTTTCTGGTAATCAAACTTGTCCTGGAAACTGATTTCTCCTTCTTTAGTCTTTAGGTATGTGATGAAAAGAGGTTATGTAATTTTTTTACCAACCAAACAGGTACCTAGACCAGCTTGGTTTGGCAGCATCTTATGACACCAAAACATATTGCAGACAGACATTGATTGGTGGAAATTATGGGCTCCTTGACACCAACACCTTTCAACCAAATCCTGATTATTACAGTGCTCTTCTTTGGCATCGTTTAATGGGAAACAAGGCCCTGTCCACAAGCTTCTCTGGGACGAAGAAGATACGTGCCTATGCTCATTGTTCAAAGAAGACAGTAAGCATTCATTAAACTGGACAAAATTTCACATAGATCAAACATAAAGGTTATGCTTAATTAGCTAATCCGTTAAGCTAAGGTTATGCTATCACGTGGTTTTTTTTTTCCCTTCTGTTGTTTGATTCATTAATCGTTTCTCGCTAATATTATCAGTTGTTAGGAGACTAACCTAATTAAGTAATTGATTTATGCAGAAAGGAATCACAGTGCTCCTCATCAACCTAGACAGTAACACTACGGTTCAAGTCCGAGTTTCGACTGATAGTACTGGCAGGCTTGTGAGTTCTGAAAGCCTTCAGAGTTCGAAAGATAGTGATGATGCAAGGGAAGAATACCATCTAACAGCTCAAGATGGGGACTTGCAGAGCAAAGTAATGCTACTAAATGGGAAAGCACTTAGTGTAGATTCATCCGGGGATATCCCACCCCTGGAACCGATAACAGTTAGGCTATCAGATCCAACTACCGTGGCGCCATTCTCTATTGTATTTGTTCACATTCCAAACACAACTGTGCCGGCTTGTGCATAGAGGCTTTTGGTGAACAAAGACTTGTAGATCCTTTTATTTTCATACAAAGAGATGAATAAATAAAAATAAGAAATGAATTTTAGAGGATGCAACCACGTTATAAATTAAAATTAGAAATTTATTGGTTTCTTCATGGTGATCCCCAAGAATAATTTACATTACTTCAGAGAGTATGATGTTTATATAGAAGAGTTTGAAGCAATCATCTGTGCCGGCTTCGTTTTACAGCTTCACTCCTTTTATGAAGTTCGGATGCACTCAAAGCAACTTATAACGCATTCTATCTTCAAAGTGATAAATGGTGGCGTACTGCACTGATTATATATGTTGATATATAGTGGTCACATGAGATGATGCGGATGAAGTAAGAAGGTTGTAGACGTCTCAGGCAACTGAATTTGAAATGAGAGAGCAAGGTAAATTAAAGCATTTCATGTAAAGGATGTTGATCTAGATATATTAAAACATGACATGTTTCCGTGGACATGTCCTCGTCTTGGTATCCCTCTTCATTCTCCTCCTCTTCGACTTCGGAGAGCTAAGATTTTACGGGGAGGATGAGCTCGGGGACTGGAAAGTGACTCGGAATGGCAATGAGGTTGGAGAGTGCGTTGGGTGAGGTGGTTGAGAAGCCGATGAGAATCATGAGATGAACGTCTGTGCAAGTGTAAAGTAATTGCTCTCTGATTTTGGTTTGCAATGTAGGTGATCTATGTGATGTGGTTTGCAATGTAGGTGATGTGGTTTGCAATGTAGGTGATCTATGTGACTTTTCCCATAAGATTTCTCTCTCTTCGGGTTAGGTTGCATTTGAGCTTTTTGACCTGAAAATAAAGCTAAAAACTCCAAATTGTACCGTACGTGTGGGGGTAGATGCAGGCAAATTGGTAAGTTTGAAATTCCCCCATTGTAAAGTTCCTTTTTTTTTTTAATTATTTTTTTTTTATTATTACAAACGATATTCCTATTCTAAGTTACATTAAAAGAATGAGGGGAATTGAACCAAACGTGCTATGAATTGAAGAAGAAAACAATATCCACGAGAGCAATCTACTACTTCCACATAGTAAATATACTTAACCTATCATTTTTTTCTTTTCCTTCCAAAATTACTAAGTACACACAAAAAACCTCACAAACTTTCCTAGTTTTCAAAACGTGTAATTAATTGTTGAGGAAAGCCGTAATCATGGAAGTTTCCCACGTAAACGAGGAACATATCAAAAGCATCCCTATAAATAATAGATACCGATCGAAAAGGTTGATTATTTACAAGTTTACGAACCAAAATTAAGACCTCATGGCAAGCATGCTCTGTTCTCTTGCTCTCTTCGTCTGCATAGTCTGTTTTTCCGCTTTGATTCCGCAGGCCTCCCCCGCCCCATTCCTCTTCCCGGAAGCTCAATCCACCGTCCTCCCCGACCCTTCAACCTTCTTTGCCCCAAAACTTCTCTCAACTCCACTCCCCACCAACTCTTTCTTCCAAAACTTTGTCCTCAAAAATGGCGACCAACCCGAGTACATCCATCCCTACACCATCAAATCATCCAACTCCTCCCTATCTATCGCATACCCGTCTTTCTCCTACACATCTACCATCATATCCACAGCCCCTTTTGAACCCGATCTCACCATATCTGCCTCGAAAACAAACACCGGAAAAGCTCCAAACAACAATGACCACCATGTGATCTCTGACTTCAATGATCTCAGTGTGACATTGGACTTTCCCTCCTCCAACCTCCGCTTCTTCCTTGTCCGCGGCAGCCCCTTTCTTACCGGTTTTCTTTATCGCCCCTCTGCGCTTACTATATCAACTGCTCATACAATTGTCTCATCATCACCAGCTAGTGGCTCAAAAACCAAGTTCATCATCAAGCTCGACAACAATCAGACATGGCTAATATACACATCCATTCCAACTGATTTATCTGACAGCGGACCATCCACGATAACTTTTAAAGTTTTTCCGGGATTATTCGATTTGCTGTAATACCGGATCCTGACCCAAAATCAGAGGCAATTCTCGATCACTTCAGTTCTTGTTACCCAGTTTCTGGTGCAGCTGTGCTCCAAAACATCAATACTTTGACATATAAATGGGAAAAGGAAGGTGGAGATTTGCTTATGCTTGCTCATCCTCTCCATATTAAGCTTCTATCCAATGCTACTGTTTTGCAAGATTTTAGGTATAAAAGCATTGACGGCGATTTAGTTGGTGTTGTTGGCGATTCGTGGATGTTAGCATCAAAGCCTATTCCGGTCACTTGGAATTCTGTACGGGGTGTGCAAAAAGATTCGTTCCCCGAAATCATATCTGCACTTCGACGAGATGTTGACGCTCTTAGTTCAACAGAAGCTTCTACTACATCTTCATATTTTTATGGAAAATTGGTTGCTAGAGCAGCAAGGCTGGCTGTGATAGCCAACGAGGTAGCTTGTCCTGATGCGATCCCGGCGATCAGGACATTCTTGGCGGAGAAAATAGAGCCATGGTTGGATGGTAGCTTTAGTGGCAACGGATTTTTGCATGATAAAAAATGGGGTGGACTTGTTACCAAGCAAGGATTAACTGATCAGGGTGCCGATTTTGGGTTTGGCGTTTATGCTGATCACCATTACCATCTGGGGTACTTTATATATGGAATTTCCGTGTTAGCAAAGATTGATCCTGCATGGGGGCAGAAGTACAAGTCTCAAGCTTACTCGCTCGTGGAGGATTTTCTCAACAAGGATGAACGATCGAATCCAAATTACCCGCGTCTGAGATCCTTTGATCTCTATAAATTGCACTCGTGGGCAGGTGGGTTGACAGAATTCGCAGACGGGAGGAATCAAGAGAGCACGAGCGAGGCGGTCAATGCTTACTACGCAGCTGCTTTGATGGGAAAAGCCTATAAAGATGCGCAACTTGAGGCCACCGGATCGCTACTCACAGCCTTGGAAATACAGGCAGCTCAAATGTGGTGGCACGTAAGAGAGGGCGGAGAGAATCGAATTTACCCGGAACCTTTCGCAAAGGAAAATCGAGTAGTGGGAGTTTTATGGGCGACCAAGAGAGACACCGGACTTTGGTTCGCTACCGCGGAGGCAAAAGAAATCAGACTCGGAATCCAAATGCTGCCTGTTTTGCCAGTCACCGAGGTTCTGTTCTCCGATGCAGGGTATGCCAACGAGCTCGTGAGTTGGGCATTGCCGGCGCTCAATAGAACAGAAGTCACCGAAGGATGGAAGGGATTTGTGTATGCGTTACAAGGGATTTACGACACACAAGGCGCTTTGAAGCAGATTAGGAGCTTGAATAATTTCGACGACGGAAACTCCCGGAGTAATATTTTGTGGTGGATTCACAGTCACAGTAGGTGATCAGCGTTGTTGCATGACATTTTTTTTCCTGGGTTTAATTTTAGTATTTTTTTGGGTTTTAGCTAGATTCAAGTTCTTTGTGTAACGAAATTGAATCAATTACAAGTCATTGTTTATTTTCTTTTCGTACTTGCTGTCGTATTTTAACACGAGAATTGCAATGTTGTTCATTGTTGTTTCATCTGATTGCTGGAGATCATTTAAGAAGGCATACCAAATAGTATTAGACTAAAGTTAGCCATAATAATTAGATACATAATCTAACTCGTCCATTTAATGTGAGTCGAACATAAAATCTTTCACTTTGAAGTATTAAAGTATCAGTAGACTGTAGTACTAACCGCAAGTGATGTAAAGAAAAGACTATGTTACATGTATCAAGGGGGTCAAACGTAGATATAAGTAGCCAAATATTTTTATCACTTAAAAACTAAAGTTTAGTCATTTTTTTTATTTCTAAGAGAAAAATGTTAGGTTCAAATTTCGTTAGTGATGAGTTAGATACCAATTATTATTCAATAATGTTATTCATACCATGTTTTTATACCATATTTATATACCATCTTAGGTGGCATCTGATGTGGACAGCCATATCATTTGAAAAATTTGCAAAACCCAAGGAAATGAAGGAGAAAGACTCCTCGTATATCACAATCATCATTTAATTAACTATTTTTTCTTAATTATTAGTTTTTTAAATAATGAACTAAATTTAAAAATCTGATTGATTTAAATGATGTGGCTGTCCATATCAAATGCCACATAAAATGGTATAAAAATGTGTTACAAAAACATAGTATGAATAGCAATCCTCATTATTATTTGTCTTCATCTCTTGTATAAAAAAAATAGGGTAATAAAATAAAAATAGCCCAAGTATTTGAGAAAATATATGAGGCAGAGCTATAGGAAGCCCAAAGACAGAAAGCTCGGGCCCAAACAAACTGGCTCGCTTATTCTTTGTAGATAAAGCGCTAACAGTCCCTCTCTCCCTCTCTCCCTCTCTCTCAGGGAACGTTAACTGACAGAGAGCAAAGATGGGTACTCTGCTCAAGTTCTACAGACCCTTGTTTCCATACTCGAGTCGGACGATTCAACTCGGAACGCAGCGTTTCCACAGATTATTCAAGCCCAATAGGAGAATTCGCTGCGTGGCTACTTCCAGCCACTCTCAGCCGTCTATTTTAGGCGGCGGCGGCAGTAAATTGGGGAGTCCAGAATCGTCGGAGCTATGGCTGCACAACACAATGAGCAGGAAGAAGGAGCTTTTCAGGCCCAAAATTGAAGGGAAGGTGGGCATGTATGTGTGCGGAGTCACAGCCTATGATCTCAGCCATATCGGCCATGCGCGCGTCTACGTCACATTCGATGTTCTCTACAGGTCCATTTCTATATGATTTGTTCAATTTCTCGATTTGGGTTTTTTTTAAATGCTTATTTTAGTGACATTGTTTCGGGAAATAGGCAGATATCTTAGGCATTTGGGATATCAAGTCACATACGTTCGGAATTTCACAGATGTTGATGACAAAGTAAGTTTCTTTTCCCAAATTTGAATATTTCCATTTACGAAATATTCGGGCTTTGGTTATGGGTGTATTTGAATAGTTTGTTCGGAATTTAAAGTTTTCGACTGATATTACCTTTGGTATGTTTATGCATCCTGTTCACTTTGTTTTGTGTTACGGAAGTTGGATGCCAAGTACCGATTACTTTCCACATTGGT